TTGCATGTGCAGGTGCAGTAGTGATACAAGGGCAATGCAGAGGCAAGCCCCACACTAGCTCAGTGCCCAACCCACCACATCAGAACCAACTGCTCATTTACCTGTCAGGCTCCTCTATCAAATGGTGGACCCAGAAGACTGGGAGTATCTTATTGGTGTTTATATTCTCAGTTTCCAGTCCAGAAACTGGCACATAAAACACATCTAATAAATATGGTCCAAATGCCATGGTTCCTAAGGTTTTACTAATTGAATTAGCATAGAAGTTGGCAAATAGTAGAATGTTAAATAAACTAACTTTTAAATAAACTAGCGATTGAAATCTATAAAATCAAGGGAACTTAATGGAGTGTTCTACGTAAGGGAAGGGCAGCTCCTGGTGAGTCCTCGGGCCACTGAGTAACCCAAGACTTGCTACTAAAAGGAAATGAGCTTTAACATTCTAGACAGAAAACCTCCAAGAGATGGAATGGAGATATGTCCATTCACTCAATAAATAGTCACGGGATGCTTACTATGCCCCAGGAACTGTTCAAGAATGTTCACAATAGTAAACAGCACAGACAAAAATCTTTGCCTTATGGAGCTTACATTCTAGTGGAGAGGTGAGAAAATAAATAAAAACAAATATGTGAATTATAAAGTATACTCCATAGTAAGTACTAGATGGTAAATCCAAAGGCAGCAGGATGTGCAGGGGTGGATAGGAGCTGATGGTGAGGAAAGAGTGGTCACACGTCTTTAAACTCTCTGAGCAGGAATGTTTGCATTAAAGGCTTTACAGAGGCAAAAGAGAGAGCTGCATGGATACTTGAAGGAAGTGCATTCCAGAAAGAAAGGAGTGCAAATGCAAAAGCCCTGGCTTGTTCAAGGGGGTTGGAGCAAAGTGAACAAGGGGGGAAATAGAGGAATTAGGTCAAAGAGAGAGAAATAGCCAGATCATTTTAGTCCTTATAGGTCATTGTCATGATTTTATTTTGTTACTGTTTTAATTTTTTAAACTAAAATACAAAGATAAAAACTGTTCAGATCTTAAGTATCAGCTCAATGAATTATCATAAAAGTGAATAAACCTGTGTAGTCAAATACGGATCTAGAAATAGGGCATTGTCAGCATTCTAGGATCCTTCCTTTATACTCCCCCCTACTCACCACCTCTCCCTCCTCCTCAAATGTAACCACTCTCTTGACTTCTGACAGCACAGATTTGCTTTGTCTGTTTATCCACTTTAAATAAATAGAATTGTATCATTATATTCTCTGGTATCTGGACATTTTGCTCAAAATTTTCCTTGTGGTATTCACCCATGTGATTCAGAGGAAAGAGGAGTCAAGATGACAAATCACAATGTGTTAAAATGCTGACGGGAAACATGTTGATGACAGCAAGTTCATGTGCCTGGAATTCATATGACAATTCATGAAAGAGAGAGGGTGTACAAGCTCACCCAGGAGCTGAGCACCAAGATACCAAGAGACATTTCCTTCCCTATTCAGCTCCTCTCCTAAGAAATAAGAAACCCTCAGAAATTATACAAATAATAGGAAAAACATTTCATGCTCATGGATTGGAAGAATCAACATCATTAAAATGTCTATAACCACCCAAAGCAATTTATAGATTCAATGCTATTTCTATCAAACTACCAATGTCATTCTTCACAGTATTAGAAAAATTATTTTAAAATTCATATGAAACAAACAAAAAAAAAAGAGCCCAAACAGTCAAAGCAATTCTAAACAAAAACAACAAACCCAGAGACATCACACTATTTGACTTCAAACTATACCGTAAGGCTATAGTAACCAAAACAGCATGGTACCAGTACAAAAACAGACACATAGACAAATGGAAGAGAACAGAAAACTCAGAAATAAAGCCCCACCCTAACAACCATCTGATTTTCGACAAGGCCAACAAAACAAGCAATGGGGAAAGGACTCCCCAGTCAATAAATGGTGCTGGGTTAACTGGCTAGCCATATGCAGAAGATTGAAACTGGACCCTTACCTTTGACCACATACAAAAATTAACTCAAGATGAATCAAAGATTTAAATATAAAACCTCAAGCTGTAAAAATCCTGGGAAAAAAATAGGTAATACCCTTCTTGACATTGGCTTTGGCAAAGAAGTTTTGGCTAAGTCCCCAAAAGCAATTGCAATAAAAACAAAAATTGACAAGTGGAATCTAAGTAAACTATAGAGCTTCTGCATAGCAAAAGAAGCTATCATTACAGTAAACAGAAACTTACAGAATGGAAGAATATATTTGCAAACTATGTTTGCAACAAAGATCTAATATCCAGAATCTAGAAGGAGCTTAAATCAATGAGCAAAAAGACAAATAACCCCATTAAAAAATGGGCAAAGAACATGAACAGACACTTCTTAAAAGAAGACATGCAGGCCAGGCACAGTGGCTCACCCTGTAATCCCAGCACTTTGGGAGGCCAGGGTGGATGGGTCACAAGGCCAGGAGTTCAAGACCAGTCTGGCCAACATAGTGAAACCCCATCTCTACTAAAAATACAAAAATTAGCTGGGTGTGGTGACAGGCTCCTGTAATCCCAGCCACTTGGGAGATGGAGGCAGGAGAATTGCTTGAACTCAGGAGGCAAATGTTGCAGTGAGCCAAGATCACACCATTCCACTCCAGCCTGGACAACAGAGCAAGATCCATCTCAACAAAAAGAAGACATACAAGTGGCCAAAAAACATATGAAAAAATGCCCAGCATCACTAATCATCAGAGAAATGCAAATCAAAACCACAATGAAATACTGTCTCACACCAGTCAGAATGGCTATTAATATAAAGTCAAAAAAACAATAAATGCTGGTTTTGTTTTTGATATGGTTTGACTATGTTTTCACCCAAATCTCATCCTGACCTGTAGAGCTTCCATAATTCCCACGTGTCATGGGAGGGACCCAGTAGGAGGTAACTGAATAATGAGGGTAGATCTTTCCCTTGCTGTTCTCATGATAGTGAATAAGTCTCATGAGCTGATGGTTTTATAAAGGGGAGTTCCCCTGCACATGCTCTCTTTTGCCTGCTGCCATGTAAGACATGACTTTGCTCCTCCTTCACCTTCCACCGTGATTGTGAGGCCTCCCAGCCATGTGGAGCTGTGAGTCAATTAAATCTCTTTCCTTTATAAATGACCAGCCTCGGGTATGTCTTTATTAGCAGGGTGAAAATGGACTAATACACTTTTTTGTCAGAATGGCTATTATTAAAAAGTCAAAATAAAAAGGTAGGTGTTAGGTCCCACTTGGTGAGGCTTCAGAGAAGAGGAAACAGTCATATACCATTAGTAGGAAATGTACATTTTCACTGTGGAAAGCAGTTTGGAGATTACTCAAAGAACTTAAAACACATCTACCATTCAACCCAACAATCCCATTACTGAGTATATAGCCAAAGGAAAATAGATCATTATACCAAAAAGTCACACTTGTATGTTCATCCCTATGCTATTCACAATAGCAAAGACAAGGAACCAACTTAGGTTCCCATCAGCGATGGATTGGATAAAGAAAATATGGTACATATACACCATGGAATACTAAGCAGCCATATAAAAGAATAAAATCATGTTTTTACAGCAACATGGGTGGAGCTGGAGGCCATAATCCTAAGCAAGCTAACACAGGAACAGAAAACCAAGTACTATATGTTCTCACTTGTAAGTCAGAGCTAAACACTGAGCACACATGGACATAAACATGGGATTAACAGACGCTGTGTACTACTAGAGGGGAAGGAGAGGAGTGGGGAATGAGTTGAAAAACTACCTATTTGTTGTTATGCTTACTATATGGGTGCAACATACCCATGGAAAAAACCTGCACATGTACCCCATATCTAAAATAAAAGTTGAAATTTTAAGAAAGAAAAAGCAAGAGATCCCGAGAAGGCTGAGGTAATGGTTATGGTTATTTATTCATTGACCCACTTGAACATTTCCACAGACTCTACTATGTGTCAGACATGGCGCTGAATACTGACATGCAAGGATAACTAGGGCATGGCCAGTTAGGCAAACAGGTGAACAAGACTACAAAATAGTGTGATAATTGCTAAGAATTTGGGAAAGGATGCTAAGGAAGTATCTTCTTTAAGAATCATTGTGATCATTTCACCTTTTTGCTTAAACATTGATGGTTCTGAATAAGCTCACAATAATGTGGCTATCATGTGTTACTTCGAAATATATTTATTATTTCTATATGTATCCATTTTATCTCCTCAACAACTACATTATAATCTTTCTGAGAGAATAAAAAGTATCTTCTGGCATCATGAAAAGAGCACAAAGTCATTGGTGTCAGAAGACCTGAGCTGAATCCTGATTGCTATTCTTCAGCTGTGCAGCCCTGGGAAAATAGTTAACCTTTCTGTGGCTCAATTCCTTTACCTATAAATGGATGTAGTAATATCCATCCTGCCTGCCTCACAGAATTGTTGTCAGCATCAATGAAATAATGTATAAGAACAACTGACTATGCTATAAATCCCTGATATTAGTCCCTGTTACCTTCTAAATTGCAAGGGCCTAGTTTGGACACACGATAGGTAATCAGTAAATATCAGGCTTTAATTATAATTTATCAGCAAAGACTTGCAGTTTTTGGAGTTTATAATAGTTTCCTGTCCCCCTCAACCTAATGCCCAAGGAATTCAGAGGCTGGGGTCACAAAGTATAGTCATGACCTGGGAGTGACCAGCCAGTGTAGGACCCAGTGTGGACTGGGCCAGTTTCATCCAGACCAGCTGCCTACTAACCAAGAGTGCCTGACATTTTGCTGGAGGCAGAGCTCTGGGACTCTGATTATCCATTTAGAAACATCTCCTTAAACTTTCCTACTCTGTCATATCTCCGAGTTTTGGTATCAGAGAGCTCTAACAGACTGGCAGAGATAGGCGAAAGGGTGAAAGACTTGGCAGGGATTTTATCAGGAACATTTTTAAAACCTTTTCCTTCTGTGTTTACAGGGAGTACAGGGAATCTAGTTTCGCAAACCAGCTCAACCCCATGGATGGTGAATGGGATTCTGGGGGAGTCAGTAACTCTTCCCCTGGAGTTTCGTGCAGGAGAGAAGATCAAGTCCATTACCTGGCATTACAATGGAGCATCTATTGCCTTCATAGTGCCCTCTGAATCCAAAAGTCCACAAATCCACGTGACTAATCCGAAATTGGAAAAGCGACTGAACTTCACTCAGTTCTACTCCCTGCAACTCAGCAACCTGGAGATGGAAGACACAGGCTCTTACAGTGCCCAGATGTCCTCAGAGACCTCTGCAATTGTGTCCAGTTACACTCTGAGGATATTCAGTGAGTCAAAACATGGGGTTTAATTCCATAGGGACTGAAAAATATACATGTATTTCAATCCTATGTGACTTCAAATGTGCACTATAGCCTAGTAGTATAGAGTATGGCATTTGGAGTCATTGAGTCAGTGTCAACTCAACATTACAGAGCCAGCTAGTGACAGAGCTGAGGACAGACCTAAGTCTTGTGTTCTAGCCCAGAATTACTTCACTCCAATAAAACAGTCTTTTTCAACCAGAAGAGTAGTAGAAGTAACATAAATGAAATATTTATGATAGTGTTGCCTTGTGCATTACATGTATTTGCCATGTAATTCTCACAACGCCTCCATGAGGTAGGTACAGACCTTACCCTTGAGGCACAGCCTCAGTCACAGTGACTTATCTACAAGTCACAGAGATAGTGATGGCAGCACTTCCCATATAACTGCCCTGCCACGACATCTCCCTTTTCACAAAGGCTAGTCTGACCCAGTAGATTGGTCTGTGCACAGAACAGTGGTCTACCTAGAAAGTGCTCTGCAAAGATAAACTGATAATGAGAAACATCCTTTCTGCCAAGGTTATTTAATTTTTAACAATATTTTCCCCAGATGGCTCATATTAATCACCAGTCAATAATCTGCCTTCCCAAGATGAAAAAGAATGAAAATGTTATCATCATAAAATTATGTAAACTATAATGAGATTGCTCATGAGTCAATATCAGAAAAAACCTTTCTAGCAATCAGTAATATTCAGAGATGCCATTAATGGCTTTATAATCACTTAGCAGGAGATTCGAGCATTAAATTTGCAATCAGACCAGACAACACTAAAGGCCACTGAAATTCTATAATTCTTATCCACTTGAGGGCCTGTTGTGTCTAAAATTCACTCAGAGTCCTTGGGGTTAAGACATGGTTCTCAGAAAAGAACTGTTAAATGAAATGTCTCCATAGACAGATTACATGTTAACTTTTAGTATGCCCTGAACATCTGGCAGGTGTAGTGTTAGATTAGTCAAAGTCACGTCCTTGAAGAATAGAACACCAAAGAGATAAATGTAATGGGAAAGAGATGATGTCTGGAAAACTATATAAGCAATTCTAACTAAAAGGGGAAAATCTCCCTGGGGCAATGTGTTAATTTCCTGAGGCTTCTGGGACAGAAATACCATAAAGTAGGTGTCGTAACAGAAATTCATATTCTCTCACTGTTCTGAGGACCAGAAGTCCACAATCACAGTGTAGGCAGGGCTATGCTCCCTCTGGAGGCCGTAGGGGTCAGTCCGCTCTCTGCCTCTCCCAGCTTCTGGTAGCCAGCAACATTCCTTGGTTTTCTTTTGCTCATGGCTGCCTCACACCAATCTCTACCTCCATGGTCACATTGCCTCCTTCTCTTCTGTCTGTCTCAAACATCTCTGCTTTTCTCTTATGGAAACACTTGTCATTGGGTTTGGGGCCTAACCAGATTATGCTGGATTATCTCATATAACTTAATTCCATGTGCAAAGACCCTTTTTTCCAATAAGGTAATACGCAGATTCTGGGAATTAGGACATAGATCTTTTGTGAGGTCATTATTCAACCTACTACAGGCAGAATCACCCTGGGTGACCAGCGATTGTCAAGGCAGTGTAGGACGCTGGAGAGATGAAAGATTCATCCAATGGAAAGCCTGAAATGGGTACCAGGCTTCATCACATTTACCAAGATAATGTTCCTCTAACATTGTTGAGAGACCAGGTATGACTTCTCTTGAAACAACCACATTCTTGAGGCTCAATGCTAATCTCTTTCAGGGCTTTTTGGAGTGACGTCTCCTTCAAAGGTACATACACAAAGAATTGCGTAAGCTACATCAGTACACCAGCTACTTTTACAATAGTGCAAAGGAATTTCAAGGTATAAGCTCTGTACATTTTATTTTTAACATTGATCAGTCTCTTGGTATGTGCCAGAATATGGATGGGAAAGATTTGATTTTATGGGTCAATACCAATTAATTAGGAGTGACCGCTAACATGGCTTGGCTCTGCATCCCCACCCAAATCTCATCTCAAATCAGAATCCCCCCATGCCAAGGGAGGGACCTGGTGGGAGGTGATTGGATCATGTGGGAGATTTCTCCCAAGCTGGTCTCATGATAGTGAGTTCTCATGAAAGCTGATGGTTTTTAGTGTGACACTTCCTTGCTTTCTTTCTCTCTCCTGCTGCCATGCAGATGTGCCCTGCTTCCCCTTGCCCTTCTGTCATGATTGTAAGTTTCCTGAGGCTTCCCCAGCCATGTAGCACTGGGAGTCAATTAAACCTCTTTTGTTTATAAATTACCCAGTCTCAGGTAGTATCTTTATAGTAGTGTGAAAACAAAATAATACAACTGCCTAGAGTTCAGGGTTAAGAAAATGTTGAAGCCATGTTCAATTTATTAATTGAGTCAACAATATTTGATAGACTCAAGTAATATTTCAGGTGCTGTTGTGGGCACCTGAATACATCAGTGAGCAAAACAGAAAAAGGTCACTGCCCTCATGGAGCTTACATTCTGGAAGGGAAGTAGAGGCAGGTAACAAACAATTCACATAACACATGAACAAGTGATATAGCATGTAAGCAAACCCTGAGTGGTATGCACAAAGGAGAGATCCGAACAGCATAAGAAGCATCAGGAGTTCCAGGGAAGAGAGGACAATTTTAAAGGGAGTGATCAGAACAGCCTTCATTGAAAAGATGACGTTTAAGCGAAGACTTGTGGGAAGTGAGGGAGTGTGCCACGCAGGTACATGGAAGACAAGCCATTCAGCATAAGTAGCAAGATCCCCTGTGCCTGGCCTACTCAAGAAGCACCACGGAGGCCAAACATCCAGGAGCAGAGAAAGGGGGAGGGTAATAGAAAACGAGGCCAGAAAGGAAACAGGGGCCACATTGCATAAGGACTCAGAACCATCGCAAAGACTTTGGCTTCTACTCTCAGAGACACTGAGAGCCATCAGAAAGTTTTGCAAACAAGTAATATGATGTGGCTTGCTTGTCTAAAGGATTCCTTCTGCTGCTCTGTTGAGAATAGACTTTAAGGGAGAAGGGTACAATGGACCAATCAGGAGGCCGTTGCAATAACCCAGGCAAGGGTTAGTGCTAGCTTGGATCACGGTGGTAGCAGTGGAGATGGTGAGAAGGGGTTGCATTCTGGACATATTTTGAAGGTAGAGCCAGCAGGATTTCCTGATGTGGGAGTATGAGATGAAGATATGAGTCGGTGATAACTCCAGGGGTTTGCACCTCAGTAATTGCAAGGACGCAATTCCTTCCCCAGTTCTTTGGTTCTCAGCACTTTCCTTTCTGTCTTGCTGACCTTCTACATCTGAGTCTCTTTCTCACTACTGGAACCATCTTTAGATACAGTGGGAACCAGGATCCCCAGAGATTGATGGGAGCTGTAATTCCCCAAGGAAGTGACACTTCCATCTTCCACCCCAGTAAGGGAATTTTGATAACAGAGGAAACAGGGCTGTTGCAGCTGGTCTTTTGGCTTCTGACCTCACGGAGGTGCCCTCAGAGTTCTCTGGCAGAGTGCAAGGACTCAAAGGGACTCCAGAGATAAACTGAGCCAAGGAATACAAAGTGACCACCCCAAAATTGCACAACTAGTTGATGGAAACCCCATTCTCTCCCTTCCCACTTCTCCCACTGGCTATCCTGACCCATACTGATGTCCCACATCATTTGGTCACCCCAGAGCTTGCTAACATCAATTGGGCAATATAAGCAGAGTCATTTACAGAGTTTACAGGCCGTAACATACAGCAAAGGTGAAATACAAAACATTGAGGTGAAGGATATTTTTCACAGGGGGCTGAACCAAGACATTTGCCTTTAATCTGCGTCTTTTTTTTTTTTCTCTCTGCAAACAGGAAAACTGAAGAACATACAAGTTACCAATCACAGCCAACTCTCTCAGAATAGGATCTGTGAGATCCATCTGACTTGTTCTGTGGAGGATCCAGATGACAACATCTCATTCAGATGGGAGGCCTTGGGAAAGACACTTCTAAGTGAGCCAAACCTCACCACCTCCTGGGACCCCAGGAATTCCAGTGAACAGGACTACACCTGCGTAGCAGAGAATGCTGTCAGCAACTTATCCTTCTCTGTCTCTGCCCAGAAGCTTTGCGGAGGTAACAGCCTGCCTCAGGTCTGAGAGCCTTGAGCAGCTGTGGGATTTAGTGCATCCTCGCACCCTACATAATTTCCAAAACAGTGGCCCAGTGGGAGGCAGAAAATACTGCTGGGAGGGGACAGATGCCCTCTGGAGCTCTGCATCTCTCAGTACTCCCAGAGGACTCTCCTTCCTTCCTCCTCATTCCCCAATCTCTCCTCCAACCCACTCAGAACCCAAGACCAAAGGCCTGGGAAGGCAGGGTTGCTTTCCCTCCCCAACTCCACTGGGCCCCACCCTCCCCTGCCTGCCAAACAGGACTCCGACCCCAGAGCCTCTGGGTATAGACAAACCTACCCAGTCCCCAAAGATGGACTAGAATAGGCTCCATGGAGGCTCCAAGAACAGTTGGCCTCACTTGATGTGTCTCAATGTCATTTCTTTTTTCTCTTTTCAGATGTTGAAAATCAATATACACATACCACTATGATTGTGTCTCTGGCTGTTGGGGTATTCATAGTCTTATTCATCATCATGCTGTTACTTCTTTGGAAGAAAAGAAGAGCAGGTTTCCTTTCTTCGTGCATGTCTCCTTTCCAAGGTTCCAGGGTTTGAGAGTTTAGAACTTCTGATTCCCAAGGATCTTTTGTGGAGGACAGGAGGAGGGAAGGAGGCTGCAAATCCTGGCTCGGCTGGTCCACTGGGATCATCCCTGGGTGCAATCATGCACCTGCTAATATTCTAAGGGAAGTGACCTATTGGGAAAAGCAGGACCGTGCCTCAGGGCTGCCTGCCCTCCCTTTTGGGTCCCCTCCCTCCATATCCCAACACTCATGGGGTTGGGGGTGAAATGCCTCTCCCACTGCTGTTACACATTTCCATTTTTTTGTTTTATTTTTCAGGTTCCCTTCCTTTGTCTACTCAGCAAACACAGGGTCCTGGTGAGCATTCAGACTTAACTCTCTGTCATAAAGCAGATGGGAAGAACCAAATGGAAGAGAAAGGGGGATGGCAGAGGGCTGGATAATGAGAGAGGAGAGAGTCAGAATGCCATTACTCAGACGACAAGGTGTGAGGGAAGATGACCTGTAATCTTGGGTCCTATAGGGTGCACAGGCACAGGCATGAGAACCAGTCACTCACACAGTTTCTCTTGGTGATATCAGGTTTATTCACCACCCTGCTGAGGGAGAAACTAAGTGCCAGTGAAAGGAATCCTCCCTTGTCACCCAGCAAGTCCAGGGCACAGGCAGGATTACAGCATCCGAGGCACAAAACCAAACTGCCTGACTGCATCACTGCTGTTCAGCCAGGGTCTGGGCAATGGAGAGACACAGTGGAAAGTGAACGCATGATAGAGAAACACAAACACAGGCTCTGGACTCAGAATGGCTTTGGGTCTCATTTCATGCATGAGTGATGCATGACATCACTTGTAGAGGAAAAGGCATAAGGTTTGAAGTCAGAAGACATGCATTGAGTTCCTGTTCCGTCACTTCCCGTGTCACTTTGCCCAAGTCAGTTAAGCCTTCTGAGCCTCCAGTTTCTCATCTCCAAAGTAATCAAATCCACTACAGGGGACTCTGAAAAGCTCAATAATATCCCGTATGTGAAATAACTGGCTCCATTATGTTTGCCAACAAGTTGTCTCTAGCCCTTCCAGAGGCAGTACCATGTGGTCCCAGGAGCTTCCTGACCGACATGTGCAGCCTGAGGGAGACTCTGAAGCTTTAGGGGACCACAACACCACCTCCTACCCCAAGAGATGTGGTTAGATATTGACCACATGATTGAGAAGGTCAACTTAGAACTCCAAAGACTATCAAGAATGAATGATCTCTCAGGAAAGGAGACGCCTCAAACACCTGCCTATGTGGGGACACAGTGTGCTCTGGGGAGGACGAGGTCTTGGAATAGCAGTCCCAGAGTCCTTTTGCCACTGACTGTGCCTTCCTGTGTTAACAGCAGAGTCCACGGGGAACACAGACAATGCTTCAGTCTCTCCAGTGAACAACACTGTGTATGCTTCAGTCTCTCATTCGTCCAGGGTGAGTCCTTTCAGCTTTACACCCCATTGTTGTCAGTTTTACAGCCATTGTTCACAAACTTGCCACCATAACCATCTGACTGATCAAATGACCACTGAGGGGAGGAGAAGACAGCGACAGCGACAGGGGCTGCAAAGTTCTGTGCTAGACCATTCTGGTGTCTGCCGTTCTCTCCCGTAAGGGAATGCTTATTCATACCCTGCTTTATGCCGTTCTCTCCCGTAAGGGAATGCTTATTCATACCCTGCTTTATGCTGTTCTCTCCCGTAAGGGAATGCTTATTCATACCCTGCTTTATGCTTTTCTCCAACTGCTTGATGCATCAGTAAGTCTTGTCCCTTCAGCTTAATTACAAGCTGCCTGAAAGTACAAGTTATGTCTTCCTCTCTCTTCCCCTATATCCTAGCATAATGATCAGTAAATACTTGCTGAATGGGTCAGAGTTCCACTAAGTTTTAAAATTTCCTATGGACGCAGTTCACAGCAGGGGCCTGACTTCTCACTGTGGTTGTAGGAGTCTTAGCAGGAGCTCAGAAGTAGTCTCTCAAGAGGGGAAGGGGGCACAGTAGAGGCCACTAAACCATAAGCAATGGTTCACTCCTCTCCATGCATCTAGCAACATAACAGGATGCTTTGATCAAGCATCAGCAACTCATCTGTCATGCATCGGCAACTTCCCACCACCCCTAAATAAAGGACCTGCAGGTGGCATGTCTCTAAATAATACTATACATTTTGAGAGGGTAGTTTTCATGTCTTCTGAAAAATAAGGCAGGAAAGCTCAGCATCTTCCAAATGGTATAAGCAATGATCTAGCTAGAAGTCGTGGATTCCCTTCGATTACTTGCAAAGTACGATCCTTGGTGACAGGGAGCAAGAAGGGGTACTCTCAGTTGCTTAGACATTTCTACTGCCTTTCCAGATTCTTCTTGAAGACAAGTCAATTAACTCTCCAACAAACCAAAAAACTAATTTCCCACAAATTTATTAGCTTTCTCTTTAACAAAAAGAAAAACAAAATGTACTTTGGAGAGTTTCTGAGTTTTTTTTTTTTTTGACAGAGTCTTGCTCTGTTGCCCAGCTGGAGTGCAGTGGCATGATCTCGGCTCACTGCAACCTCCACTGCCCAGGTTCAAGCTATTCCCCTGCCTCAGCCTCCTGAGTAGCTGGGACTATAGGCATCCACCACCATGCCTGGCTAATTTTTTGTATTTTAGCAGAGACGAGGTTTCACCATGTTGGCCAGCATGGTCTCAATCTCCTGACCTCGTGTTCCTCCTACCTTGGCCTCCCAAAGTGGTGGGATTACAGGCATGAGCCACCGCACCTGGCTGACATTATTATTTTTTTTTTTGAGACAGAGTCTCACTCTGTCACCCAAGCTGGAGTGCACTGGCACAATCACAGCTCACTGCAGCCTCAACCAGACTAATGTGATCCTTTTACTTCAGCTTCCCAAGTAGCTGAGACTACTGGCATCAGGATAATTTTTCTACTTTTTGTAGAGACAGGGTTTCACCATGTTGCCCAGGCTGGTCTCAAACTTCTGAGCTCAAGTGATCTGCCTGCCTCAGCCTCCCAAAGTGGTGGGATTACAGGCATGAGCCACTGTGCCCAGCCCAGATCTTGATAATTCTCTAAATACTTCTTAATTAATTTAAAGTGTCAAAATCTTTGAACAGGTTCTTGGAGGGGCGTAGGGACTTCTGCGATTATTTCTGGAATGTGCATTCCAGGAGCCATTCTTAAGGTCAAATGTTCCTATTCTACCAATTCCCCATGCTTGAGGAGACCTCAATGACATAATGATAAGGCAGTTAGAATTATAGCAGAAGGTGGAGCAGCCAAAATGGGCAGTTCCAGTTCCAGCTAGCAAAAATTTGAGACAAAACGTAAAATATAACTGTGTGGTATATAAGTCTGTTCTTAAAAATGGAGGAAGGAAAGTAGAATCGGACAAAGGACAAGAACACTTCCTGCCCTCCATACAGCAAGGTTGCCTTTCTCTGGCTCTTGACCCCCTGGTTTGCTATCATGTTGCTCGTCTGTTTGGGGCTCAGGAAATGCCAGTAGACCTTCACAGGTCTGAAAGCGAGCAGTGTTTGGTCTCCCACTAGACATTCCCTGGCCTTCCTCTGGAAAAACTTTGACATATTCTCTTTTTGGTCACACAGCCTTTCCTAAGAATATATCTATTTAGTCTCTTTGTCTCTGTGTAAGCCAAATTACCATGACTATTTTTACAGGAAATGGAAACCTCAACACCTAGAGAAAATGATCTTCTCACAGTTTACTCCACAATTAATCATTCCAAAGAGGTAAGCCCATGATTGCTCCATGTTTTTATATTCTCACCTCTCTCCACAGACCTATGATTTTGCAAATAAGGTAAAAATAAAAGGGTCGTTTTACAGATGCACAAATACCAGCATATCCAAGAAGCTATTTTGTACTAGGATCACCATGCGCAACTGAATTTTCAACCTACATGTTTTTTTCTAATTTAATCCTGCCCTATGCTATCAATATCTCTACTATCTGCCTGTCACTAGTCTCCAATCCTCTCTCTGTAGCCATAAGGGCTGAGCTGAGGTTCCAGTTCCTATTAACCTACTTCATCTTCCTCTTTTTCCCACAGAGTAAACCCACTTCTTCCAGGGCAACTGCCCTTGACAACGTCATGTAAGTTGCTGAAAGGCCTCAAAGGAATTCAGGAATGATGCATCTTCTGATCCCATGGAAGAGAACGAAGAGCAGGAAGCTTGGTTTTCTGCCCGCCAACAGAATTTGAATATCTGGGATAGGATTATCACCTCCACTCCTTCGGATTTAAACCTCCTTACCCAGGTCGAACACCTAAGGACAACATCACTTCCAGCATGTGGCTCAGATAATATTTTCCAATTCACTTCAGACCAAAACATGCTAAAGATAACACACCAGCAGACTGGCTCTCTCTTTGAGAAATAAGCAAATGGAATTATGGTTGACAGAGAGTTTATAATCCAGAAGACAACCACTTCTCTCCTGTTAGAAAGCAGCAGGATTGTGACTTACTGGGCAATAATACGGTGTATTTGTTACATGTGCAGTCTCTGGAGTTGGATAGGCCCATGCTCATATCCTGATACGAGTCGAGCATCCCTTGTCTGAAATGCTTGGGACTAGGACTGTCTCAGATTTCCATTTTTTTCAGATTTTGAAATATTTGCATTATATTTACTGGTTGAGTATCCCAAATCCAAAAATCTGAAATTCAAAATGCTCCAATGAGCATTTCCCTTGAGTTTCATTCGTATTGGTACTCAAAAAGTCTCAGATTTTGGAGCATTTCAGATATTGGATTTTTGGATTTTGGATGCTCAACTTGTACAATATTTATTAGACGTACCTCCTGGGACATATAGCCTAACCTTGTGGAGCCTTAGTCTCACAGACAGAAAAAGGAAGAGGATGGTATCACATCAGCTCCATTGTTTGAGCCAATAATCTAAGTCATCCCTAACTCCAGCGTCTTTGTCACCAGGCCCTTTGGTCTCTACCTCAAAGATATTTCTTGGACCTCCCACTTCTCCCCCAGCTCCTTGACCAGCATCCTGTATCACCACCTCTAACCTGGAATCCTACCTTAACCTCAAAACAATTCTTCTCACTTTTGTTTTTTGTCCCTCTCCAACCCATTCTCCACAAGACAGCCAGAGTAATGTTTTTAATATAAACTGGATCCTTCAGTTGCCTGTTTAAAACCCTGTAGGCTTCCCGATGCCCTCAGAATGAAATCCAGTTTCCATGGCCCTGGTTATTCTGGTCCAACTTCAACCTCAGCTAGCATTCCCCTTCCAACACCCTCCATGTAGCCTCCCTGATCTTCTCAGCTCCTCTATTAAAGTAAAAATTCTTTATGTTAGTTATTTACATCTGTCTGCAGACCTTCGTCTGCATGCTGGGGTCCTCCTATTGTTTAGCTCTTAACTTAAATATGTCACCTCCTAAGAGAGACCTCCCCAGACCACTCTATCTAAAATGAATCATCTAGGCTGGCAGCTGTGGCTCATGCCTATAATCCCAGCACTTTGGGAGGCCGAGGCTGGCAGATCATTTGAGGTCAGGAGTTCAAGACCAGCCAGGCCAACTTGGTGAAACCCCATCTTTACTAAAAATACAAAAAAATTAGTCAGGCATGGTAGTGCATGCCTAAAATCCCAGCTACTGGAGAGGCTGAGCCAGGAGGATCATTTGAACCTAGGAGGCAGAGGTTGCAGTGAGCCAAAATTGTGCCACTGTACTCCAGTCTGGGTGACAGAGCATGACTCTGTCTCAAAAAACATAAATAAATAAAATAAAACAAAATAAATAGATCTTATTATTCTGTTACACTTTCTGTATCATTTATCACATCATTACATATTTATTTTTATTTTTTTATGTCTATTTCTCCCACTATACCCTAAGCTCTTTAACATCAAAGACAATGACTGTTTTGTTTATCACTGTAACCCTAGCACATCTAGCACACAGCAAGTGTTCAATAAACTTTTTAAATAAATAAATGAATATGTAATGGGTTTTTGTTAAAATGAAATAAGACAATACACCGGGAGTCTTTAGCATAGCTCTCAGCCACATAAAGGAGCTCAATAAATGTCAGTCAGCATTGTTGGTATTATATAATTAGTACAAATTAATAATGGTATAAATTAATTATTACTAAGTTATACAGAATCATCTCACAAACCTTCAGCACAACAAGACATGTGACGGAGACCAGCTCTCAAGACCACAAGGTTCAAAGGGAAGGGGTTAGGGAGTTGGAGTGGGGAAGAACTGAAATAACGGCTAAAAACAATAAAAAAGAAAAACAAAGCTCGTCAAAGTTAATTAATCTCAAATACCAGCTATCGATTACATTATTAGTCAGTGGAGTTGGGCAAGATAGAGAAGCTTAATCAGGAAGAAGAACAAGTTACGAAGGAATAGATTCATGGAAACGTCAAAGAAAAGAGAAAAAAGAGGGTTACTGCCATGTCCGTGCAAGATGACCTGAAGCTCAGGGGAAATCTCACTGGGCAGGTAAGAGAATGCTCTCCTTTCTAGGGGATCAAATTTGGAAGACTTCCAAGGTTCTTCAGAGTGGGAGAAGGAATAATCTGTAAAGTCAGTGCAGGTAGAAAAAGACTTGCAACATCTAGGATGCCCAAAACCAGCAAGAAAATGAGGAGATATGTCACGGAATGCACTACTAATTCATCTAGAGCAGGAAATCTCCCAGAATCTACCCTTAGTCTGGACTGCACTGGGGAGGATCACAGACAAAACAAAAACTAAGGGCATATCTATGGATATCTAAGAGGTGAGTACGAAAATAATTCATAAGAAAAACTAAGCTCACATGTCATCATAGACCAACTACTAAAGCATAGACCTCCTGACTCATATTTCCTTCAATCTTTCAACCTTCTCCCTTTTCATTATAAATATCACAGTCTACTCTCTTGGCTTCTGTGGCACTACATTCCCCCAGTTTTACTCCTTCGTTCCTAGCTGCTTCTCGGGCTCTTTAAAGATCCGCTTCCTCCTCTGCAGGACGAATAAAGACTAGAGCTAAGGCTCACATGTGGGTCCCTTTCACTTCGACACCTATGTGCTCTTCTTATCTGATGCCAGCCATTCCTATTGCCTTAATACCATTTACAAGCTAAAGGCTCCCAAACACATCTTTAGTCCTGACCTCCTGGTTTACCTCATTAACTGCCTACATGGTATCTCCATTTGTGTATCTGGTAGACATATCAAAGTTTTTTAAAAAATCAAAACCCTTGGGCAGGTGCGGTGTCTCACACCTGTAATCCCAGCACTTTAGAAGGTCAAGGCAGGTGGATCACTTTAGGTCAGGAGTTCGAGACCAGCCTGGTCAACATGGTGGAACCCTGTCTCTACTAAAAATACAAAAATTAGCCGGGCATGATGGCGGGTGCATGTAATCCCAACTACTCAGGAGGCTGAGGCAGGAGAATCACTTGAACCCGGGAGGCAGAGGTTGCAGTAAGTCAAGATTGTGCCACTGAGCTCCAGCCTGGGCAACAGAGTGAATTCCGTCTTAAAAAACAAAAAATCAAAACTCTTGATGTCTTTCATCAAGCCTTTCATTCTACTATGCTTTTTTATATCAGTAAATGGTACCATTGTTGGGGGACACGGATCAGATCTTTACAAAACTGAAAACTACTCCATACTCACCATGTAATGAATCATTTTTGTTTTCTTGTGGGAAACAAATGGATTTAACCAACAATAACCTAATCTATTGTTCTGAAGGTAAATACATTAAGACCTGGATGCCCCATTCCCAAAAAATAAATTATGCCTTTTGCAAGCAGGGAAAAAAATCATGCAATGCTTACAAAATTCCTACCAAAAAAAAAACAAACTTTCTTTGCCCAGGAGGTAAGCTTGTTCTTTAATATTTTTATTGTAGAAGTGAGGAAATGGTAGCCCCATTAAACTACTTTGGTTAAGGTAAGAAGGCTATTATTTATTGGCTGTCCTGGGAAGGTAATAAAAGGGAATACAAATACTCTTCCCTCTCTGCCAGCCCCCAGTCATACCCACTGGGTGGCCACAAAGCCTCGACATGGCCTACAAGATCCCTACTCACATCCCTACTCCTTCTTTCACAGCATTCCAGCCACACTATTCTTGATTCAGCTCCTAGAATAATCCACACTCTCTTTCCTGCTTCTGTGCCTTACGCTTACTAGGACCACATCCCTACGAGGCAACAATTAGCTGGTGCTGAGTAGCCTCTGTCCTATTCCAAATGGGGCTTTCACTTCACATTTCACCCCTGGCCTGCCCTGCCTACTTCACTCACTTGCCGTACCTGCCTAGTACTGAAAATAGTTGTTTCCATCCTCTTACCTGCACCATGAAACTTTGCGACACTTCATGTTTGTCAAAGGAGCACATTAACTAGTCCCAAAATATAACAGTGTATGATCTCCCTTGTCCACACCCTCTCCCACCCCCAGCAACACCTGAACCCCATGTGGCTGTAGGACACTTACCTGAAGCATTTAGAGTTTAGCCTCCCTCAGGGTCCACTGTATATGTTGGTATGAGGAAACTGGCCATAGCTGGATGCAGAAAAGAGAGAAGGTTACCCTGTCCATGGTCACTGAATAGACATTCCAGCCTGGTTTTCAAAGAATGGGCTGATAAGTGACTTCTCAAATGAAGAGGGAGCAAGTCTGACTCCCTGACTTTCCCCTTCCAGAGGCGATCAAACCTGACCTTTTACTAGCAGACCTCTAGAATGAATGGCCATGTCCAGAGCTTTCACTTCCTCACCTCTAGCCCACTCTTTTGAAACTGCACTCTTGAAGGATACCAACCCCTAGAGGCAGGGATCTTTTCTCTGCGTTCTGGTGCTCTCTGCAGCATTTGACATTACATAATTCTCCACCACCCTTGACGTTTCCCCCTTGTAATGCCAGTTAAGTCACATCAACCTAGTTTTCTCTTTCTGGCTCCTCCTTACCTCTCCCTAACTGGTTTCTCTTATTACTTATGTCCCACAGTTAGATTTGTTTCCCTAGGTTCTGCTGAATGGATATTTTCCTGGGTGCCTCATAATCACCTTAACTTCTGTTTTTCATTCTCCCTTTGACTTCTAATGACCCAACAACAATCCAAAACTCAGGGTGAATTCATGGCAATTTAAAACACGAGAGGGAATTAATTCGAATATCTGACTTCTTAGCACAAAGATTTTCAAGGGAAAAAGGGTGCGGGAAAGGAACCTGCCTGTGACAGAGGGCAGGATGTGCCATTTAAAAGGGCATAGTCAACATTATAATATTACATTTAGAAAGCAAAAAGTACCTATCAAACAATGCATCTTACACATAATTCATTTAATAAATAGTTGTTATTTATAAACATTCACTACTTTAGTAAGCATTTAACTGCCAACTGTGTGCCAGTTAAACAAACACTGGGTATGTGACTTTGAACAAGATAAAAATGGCCTCCATCCTCAAGGGGATAACAGACCATAAGGATAACAGACAGTATACAAATATATAATAGATCCAAATAAATATATGATATCACGTATTTGTGTGTACCTATTTGGATTTATTATAACACATATAACACATATCACAAGATATAATGACATGTGTTATGAAAGCGGGCTTCGGGGATCTTGGCCATGTCTTTGAAGATGTCAAGCTTTTACCAACTCAGGGTCTTAATGCTTGCTCTTCTCTCTCTGTGGAATTCTCTTCTTCCAAGTCCTAATCTAGCAAGCTTCCTCTCACCATTTGTATCTACATTATAATTTCATCTATTCAAAGAGGCTTTCCCTGATTTCCCTACCTAAAATTGTTCCCTGTCTCCCCACCCCCATTCATTCTGTTCTGTAACCCTTTATCTTCTCAAAGCACTGATCTCTATTGGAAAATACAGTATTTCTATACAGGTTTTGTTTTGTGCAGCTCCCTCACTAGCCTCTAAGTTCAGTGAGAGCATGGATTGTGTCTCTTTTCATCACTGCTGTATTCCTATCACTCAAAATAATGCCTAATACAAAATACTGTGAATATTTGACTAACGAAGAAGCAGAGAATAGCAAGAAGATGCCTATCTAAACAGGGTAACAAGGAAGGCTACTCTTAGGTAATAAATTTTTCTCTCCTTTTTCTTTTGCTTTCATTTTTTTAATTTACAAATAATAATAAACTGCAACAATAACTTCTTACCTGGTGTGGGTACACAAGAATAGCGTGATTCTCAGCCTATAATGTGCCCTTCTAGAGCGCCATGTAACTGAGTGTCAAGATGTGTCAATAAAGTGGATTGATACTCAACATCCAATCCATCTTCCTTAGGTGTGCCTTCCTGTGTTGTAGTAACAGAACATCTAATAAACTATATTTCCTAGACTTTTATAAAGCTAGGACAGTACCTCTGTTTTTCTTCCTCAGCTTCTTGTAGTGCAGACATAGCTTTGAAGGAGTCAAAGAGTTGGATTTAATCAGTGTTGGCATTTCAGAAATAGAATTCATTTTTCAGAAATAGAATCCATAGGCATTGGTGACTTGACTGCATATGGGAAATGAGGAAGAGGGACTATGATGAGTTAAAAGTGTCGTAGTGATAGACTGAAATTCAAAAATGAAGAAGGAAGTTTGGAGAGGAAGATAACTAATTCAGTCTTGAATGAATTTAAGCTGCCCGAAGGTCATCCAAGGGCTATTTGGTAGGCAGTCAGAAATACAAGACTGAAGCAATAGAGCATAGTTGGGATCGGAGATACAGATTTGGAAGCCACATGCATTTGAGTGGAAGC